ACATAAAGCAAATATGATTTTGAAACAGCAGGTTTCACTTAATGCAGCATCAAACTTTGTAACTTTGCATGTTGACCTTTAAGTTATTACTGAAGATCATTACATTTAAATATGTAGTATGTTCAAACTTGCAGTGCTGAAGCAGGAAAAAAACCCCAAAACCAAACAAATTTGAGAAGCCTGGTTCTTCAAATGTAGCTGCAATGTGTGGTTGTGGCCTAACATAAAAGGGTCTGTGTTCTCTTCTGCAGCGAACTATGAGGTGGACTGCTGACATATACTGCAGAGGTGCTGTCATACAATGTGTGTGACAACGTGTGCTCCATTCCCTTTTTCATTCTGTCTGCTATCACTGAAGCCATACTTTGGATGGGAGTGCTAATTTACAAATTCTTGAGAATTCAGGCATGTGGAGCATAATACTAATTTTGATGTCAGAGTCTATTAGACTTTTGTCTAATCAAAACTTTAAATTCAGCTGAATTCAGGCTTTTTTTGAGCTGAAATGTGTTTCAAAAAAGTTCATTGCTTAAAATTTAGGACTGACTTTGGCCACTGTGGTAAAACCATGTTAAGTTTAATGGTGAGCATGAACCTCTATATCCTTATAAGAACAAGGAAATAATTTAAATTACTTATGTGTTGGAATGTTTTTTTTCTACTCTTTTTTTCCAGTTTCCAGTCTCAAAGAACTGTTAAGGCATGAAGACAGGTACCCAACATCAGGAAATGTGATAACCAGGGCTGTCTGTAAAGCCCTGGTGTAGAATCTCATCTATGTACATTAATGCAAATTAATGACTGGGTTATATAAGAAGTGCAAAGAATATTAACCTGGAGGTTGATCAACATTTAAGAAAGTGAAAGGTGAAAAGTGCTGTTTTCACTGGAGACTTGTTTAAGAGACTCACAGAATGGGAGATATTGGGAGGGACCTCTGGAGGCCATCGGATCCATCCCCCCTGCTCAAGAAGGGCCACCCAGAGCAGGTTACCCAGGACTACATCCCTGTGTATCTCCAAGGAGGGAGACTCCACAACCTCTCTGGGCAAGCAGGGCCAATGCTTGGTCACCCTCACAGTAACAAAGTGTTTCCTGATGTTCAGACAGCACCTCCCATGTTTCGGTTTGTGCCCATTGCATCTGGTCCTGTCACTGGGCACCACTGAAAAGAGCCTTGCTCTGTCATCTTTGCAGCTTCCTTCAGGTATTTATATACATTGATGAGATCCCCTGAGCCTTCTCTTCTCCAGGCTGAACAGTCCCAGCTCTCGTAGCCTCTCCTCACAGGGGAGACGCTCCAGTCCCTTCATTATTTTATGGGCTGTTCACTGGACCCAATACTCCAGGTGTGGCCTCACCAGTGCTGAGAATAGGGGAAGGATCACCTCCCCAACCTGCTAGCAATATTTTGCCTAATGCTGCCCGAGATAGAATTAGCATTCTTTGCAACAAGGGCACGTTGCTGGCTTATATTCAACTTGGTGTCCTCCAGGATCCCCACATCCTTCTTTGCCAAGCTGCTTTCTAGCTGGGTGGCCACCAGCATGTGTTGGTACCTGGGGTTGTTCTTCCCCAAGTGCAGGACTTTGCACTTCCCCTTATTGACTGTCATGAGGTTCCTGTCAGTCCATTTCTCCAGCCTGTCAAAGTCCCTCTGGATGGTAGCAAGACCCTCTGGTGTATTGGCTGCTCCTCCCCGTTTGGTGTCATTAGCAACCTTGCTGAGAGTACTCTCTGTCCCATCATCCAGATGATTAATGAAGATGTTAAAGAGGATCAGTTCCAGTATCAGCCCCTGAGGTACACTGCTAGTCACTGGCCTCCTACTCAACTCCATGCCACTGGTCGCCGCCCTCTGGGCCCAGCCATTCAGTCTATTTTTAATCCACTTGGCTGTCTGCTCATCCAGCCTGTATCTCATAAACTTGTCTATGAGTATCTTACGGGAGACATTGTCAAAAGCTTTTCTGAAGTCCAGGTAGACAGTATCGATTGCTCTCCCCTCATCGACCAGACCAGTTATTTCATTGTAGAAAGTTAACTAGCTGTAGAAGTTGGAAGGCATTTGAGCCACAGGAACCTGCAAGTGAAGAAGTAACCTCTAAACTGCCCTACACATTTCACTGACCTATAATGGGGTAGCATTGCTACTTCAGTCTGTGTTCGTAAGTGTGGGATGCTACAACTTCATTTAAACTACTTGTATTAGCTACAAATAAAATCTTTCACCTTTCATGGAACACCTGTGGTTAGATTTGTTAGACATACAAAGCACATGTGTGTGTGACTGAAGTGTACTGGTGACGTCCTTTCTGGAAACTTTAAAAAAGGTAAGTTCGCCCAAGAACTGACCTTGCGTCTTCCCAGTTTGGTATTCAGACACGCATAATCTCTTCATTTCTCAGTTTCTTCATATATGTAGAAGTGGGGTAACATTGAGTATCAATAAAATTCATCTTAAAGGGAAAGCAATTCTTATGGAAAACTTGCATGCATGGAGAGTAACTGAGGGAAGTGCTCATGGGGAAATCCCAAACTTCTCGAGTGCAGCATGTGGGAAGGTATGCAATAAGTAAAATCACTGGATGTGTCTTGAACTTGAATGTAAAGTCTTTAAAAGATATCGAGAATAATGACCTATTTCTTCAACGAGTCGGGAATTTGCAGTTGCATGTTCATATAATGCTGCAGGACTGTATCATAATGACTGTATAGAAAAGAACCTAAGGTTTCCTGACTTCTCAGTGCTTTTCTTCTTTTAGGATATTTATTAGTTTTTCTTCAATTGTACTTATCAGCATAGCTTTTCTGCTTGCAAAAGGAAGTTGCCATAATGTTTTGTTTAAAAACAGCATAAATGTTTTACAACATAGACTGTATGAGGTAGAAACTGGTGTCTGTTTTCTTCCATCTGAGGGTGTGTACCTAATCCACTAATGTACTGTGTTTCTTGTCCTAACAAAGTATGTATTGCTGCTATGGATAGTGTTTTAAGCTATGAAAGCTGTAGTTAGCATCACTTCTGTCATTCTGTTTATTCTAGACCTATTGCAATATACTGTGAATAGGCTGTTGTTAATAAGTACGTGGTCTTGCCAGTGGGGATAAAATGAAATTCTCTTAAAGAAAACTGCAGTACTTTAATTTTTCTTGCCTTTCATTATAGTATCTATGGGTAGGTATGTAGGTATCTCTACACGTAACAAGTTACTTTTAATCTGGGATTGTTTAGTATGTAAATTAAGAGGCTGGTAAAGCTGAAAATCATAACAAACGTTCAGTGAATGGAAGAACTGGGACTGATCTCAGCGTGGGCAAGCTAAACCCACGTACTCCTCATTCATGTGAAACCTGCATGATTATTTTTTATTTCGGGGTGGGGGGTAGTTTTCTTAAAGTACCTTAGGAAAAATTTAATACCAAACTTTTTTAAAAGGGTTCTACATTATATCATACTCCTCATAGTCCACTACATATTATGTAATTGTATTAAATTGTTTTGCTTGCTGAAATAATTTGGTATAATTATGAGACAATTATTGTATAATTTTGTTGGATTCTTAGTAGAAACACTTTTGTACCAATTAGCCACTCAATATAATATTGTTTCTGATTATTAATATTCATGAAAACAGAAAATAAACTATTACTAAAACAGGTGCCCTAAACCTTTTTTTTTTTTTTGAAAATAACAAGTGTGGTTCAGTGTAGCTACTGATATGTAAGGTAACTTGTAATTTGAAAGTTGGATGTTTTAAAATATTAAATGATTTATAGCTAGCACAACTCTTAATTAAAGAACTGCAGGTGTTCTGTATGGCAAAAAATAAGTATCACTTTCAGATTGAAGAACAATTTCTGAGAGTCTAAAATTTATTATTTTAACACTTTTTTTTTTTTTTTTTTCCAAAAATATTTATTTGGAAAAGAAAGGAGAAGCATGTTCCAAGGTCTTCCTGTAGTGTCCTTCACTATTTCACCTAAATCCAGTCCTAGTCACGTTTTTCCATTTGGTGTATTTTGGAATATTTTCATTCTAACTGGATTTTGAATGTATATAATATGGTCTACTGCAAGGGTTGCACATCAGTCTTGTGAACATGAAACAAGTGCTTGATTTCATTACCATGAGTGTTTCCTGAGTTACGTGGAAATGTTCAAGACTGTGAAGTTCATATGTAAAGGATTAGTTAAGTTCCTGCTGGCATTCACCATCCTTTTTGACTGCAAAGACTATCTGGCAGACTTTGTGAGGTGTATTGGCAAATCAGTTCTCACTAGCGTACTGTTGTACGTCTTAAAAAGGGGGGGGGGTGGTGGTGGTATACGACAGTCCTAACCTGAAAAAATGATATGTGAAATTTGTAATATTTATATAAGGTGGTTCTTATCTGTGTTTTTCTTACATTTTCTGAGGATCAGCTTTAACAAGAGGCGTAAAGGCATCCTGTTTCCTTTTCACTCAGATGTATTTTAATATGTGTATTTGAAAATTAATTGCCTTTTCCAGTTCCTTTGAAAACAGCAGCAGTAGGATTTGTGGTACTGAATTTTGAATGTATAGAAATACTTTCAATGGAAATGATGTTTGATGTATAATTTGCCAAATTTCTATACTCATATAGACAAAAATTAACATTGAGCTAAAAAAACCCAAAACTTAACAGTTTCATTTTCTCTTTATAGGACTTCCATTTTTTACAGTGATACTTGAAATTATAAATCCTATACTTTATGTGAATAAATGTTTTGGCTAATGACGATAGAATTTAAGTTAGTATTGCACACTTCTAAAAAAAAAAAGTCTCTGTGCCTGCATAGAATAAATATTACCAAAAAAATCAGTCAGAATGAAGGTGTAATTACACATTCCAATTATGTAATATTCACTAGAAATAACTGGGGATTAAACTCTACTTCAGGTTGTTTATTCAATGGAGAAATGTTGATGTTTTTTAATTGAAAAGCTTTTTTTTTTTTTTCCATTTTCATTCCAGGTATTGCTTTGTTTTTGCTTTGGGATACCTCACTGTGTGCCAAATTACTAGAGTCTATATCTTTGATTATGGACAGTATTCTGCTGATTTTTCTGGGTAAGGAAAAAAATAATCTTTCCATCCTAATTTGTACTGTATTGGTTATTGGGTTTTTTTCCAAGTTAAGTGTGTCAGCCTTTTAAAGTTTGGGAGAAAGCTGGGCATGTGCATGCATATTGGCACGCATACAAATACATATGTACCTATGCTTTAATCATGCAAACTGAGAATTTTGGAAACAGTTGTGGCTGTTAAAACTACAAATGTGTTATCTGCTGCGTAGTGTTCCTGACTGAAGGGCATAAAGGATTTGGTGGCTGTGGGAATTTTTTGCTCTTGTTTTTTTTTCCTTAAAATCTCTGTTACCACCCATGATGACATAATGGAACTTGAATTGTATCTGATGTACTTGCATGCCTGCCATAGACTGGTACCACTTTGTGAGCAAAATCTGAATGTTTTATGGGATTTATCTTCTGCCTTCTTTCTTCTTTGGTTTTATGTTAGATGTTCCAGAAAGAGAAAGCTAAGGAGAAAGGCACTGATATGGTGGAGTAGTCACACAGCCCTTGGAAGCAGAAAGTTTTGTCTATATGTCATTTTATATAATGAACTTAAACCTATATTTGACTTGAGCTCTATAGAGCAAAACAGAATTAAATAGGCAAAGTAAAAATTGGTGATTCTTCTTTGTATTACAGACACGGAGAAGTGAAGCACAAAATTTCCTATAAATAAGTTTGCTACTGGTGGTGCTTTTTGTTGATTTAAAGGAGAGTGTATTTTGGAAAAATAGAGATGGGAAGTGTTTGCTAGTCTGCTTAAAAAAATGCTATGAACTCCTCTCAGGAATACTATGAGTTGTAGTGGTCTTTGTAGTTTTGTATTACTTGTATTGTATAGCAGAGTTTTGCTTCTTAGCCTTGTTGCTTCTTAGTCTTCATTGGTAACAGGTGTATAACCCAGAAACTTAACTTGTAGGCCAAAGCCAAAAGCTTTTATGGTTAACTGCATCTTTTCTGTCATTTTTAGCTGGGTCTTACCTTCTGAAACATCTTTCTACGTTTATGCCTATATCCAAGTGTCTGCTTTCAAGCCAGATATCAGAGTTCCAGTTGGAGTCAGTGGAGATCTGATGGATGTAGACAGTAGAGCCTGGAGGGCATTTCAGCTGACCCACCGCTAAGTATCTACCTTAGCATGAACTGGGTCACTTGCCTGTACTGACTGTATTGACTAGATCTCCACTGTCTATAATGGCTTGCAACATAGACATATGCATAAAGACACTGTAAAACTAGGTTTACTGATGTTGAATTAAATTTCACCATTACAAGTGGAACTGTAATCCAAATACCGTCCCTTCCAGCTCACTGTAGAGCCAGAGTGTACAACTTTGACGGTCATCAAAGTTCTGAGCTGACTGTAGGAACAGTGTAATTATACTTGTTTGTTGCTGCCCTCAAACTATTAACAGACCTTCAGCACACCATTGCACAAATGGAACTGTACTGCTTTCCGATAGCAGCTGTCTTTGTGGCTCTGATGGTTTGGTATTAGCTCAGAGATTTCTACTAGGTGTAAACATATCCAAAGATTTGGGAGCTCTATGCTCTTGGTAGAACTGTTCTCAAGCTTAGATCCAGCTCTCTGATGGTATGTTTGAGCTGCCTGATTGAAACTATCCTTTCATGCATCTCTTTGGGAGCTCGATGTATGCATATCACATTAAATCTCTGGCACATACAGCATCTGCTTCCTTGAGGCCTGAGACAGAGGTTACTTCCAAAACAGGAGGAGAAAGAAAATGCACCAAAGGGAGCTATTTTCTGTCAATTTTCTCTAGTTCCAGGGGAAGAGAGTAAGCTCAAGAAAATAAAAGATGCCTAACCAGCTGTTGAACTCCAGCACCAGCAAGTTCTTCCAAAGATAGTGGCATGGATTTGTATAGTGGTTAGCCCCAAAAGAGCTTTGAATACCTGTTTCTCCTACACATGCCATGCTCCTCTGAAGTGGCCAAGGCCAGGGAATCTGCAAAAAGTTTGAAGGAAGTTATGAATGCAATGACAGTGGAGAAAGCTAAGGAAACCTCATGCTGGAGGTGCAATTGCTTGTGCAGAGCTGTTTGGTCCTGGCTTCAGTACTAACAGATCCCAGCTGCCTGTGAGCCTTCCACTGCCTCCTTTGCCTTTCTGCTGACACCTAAAAGGGATCGTTGAAGTCCTGGTTCACAGCCTCACTGTTTCAGGAAGGACTCTTCCTCTTTTAGTCTCTAGGTTGTTGCTCCTCAGCCAAATCTCTGAAGATACTGGAATAAGCACTTGAGAAGGAAAAAAAAATACTGGGGTCTGCTATGATAACAATGACAGATGTATCAGCTAGGATTAACGTAAGGTCTGATGGAGCTCCTCCTGGGCTCCATCCTTCCACCAGGCAGGATCCATGCTGTCACACGTCCACTTACAGAAGGAAAACCCATTATGTTCAGAATCAATTGGAGATTTCTGCCAGCACCAGACAGGTCTAGAGATTAAATGATAAAAAGAGCTATGAGGGATTTCCCAGACTGTCTGATCTTGTTTAGTTTTCTTCTTTGCTGAGTCTTGCCTGTCACTCTAGTCTTGATATCAGGATTTTGGGGCACTGATAATATGGTAGAAAAAACATTTTTCCCTGATTGCATTTTGAGGAATGGAAATGTTGTGTGCTTTGAAATAACCATAACTTCAAAAAAAATTTTGACAGACTGAGCCATCTGGCAAAATACTGGCGTAGCCCTGTCAATGAAGGAGGACTTGATGGCTCTTGGATTTGTTTTTCTGTGCCAACTTAAATATGTTTTAAAAAAGGGAAGTGCAGTCAAAAGACTTGAACAAAGCTATGTGTCAAACCTACACTATAATTATTTTGTTGTGGCTTTTATTTTTGTCTCCAACTCAGATACTACTGGGTAAATACAGTCCCTGATATATTTCTGAGATCTAATTTTAAAGTTAAATTTCTAAATTCTGGTAGCTACTTTACGTTCTTCCCCCGTCCCCTCCCTCACCCCAGTTAGGGGGTTAGCAATGCTGGGATTTATATCAGTCAAAAACTCTTAGATACTACAAAGATGGTATAATTTCTCAGTATAAAGTTGACTTGCTTAGCCAGGGAAGAGTATCTCTTGAACGGTTTAAGATCCGCTCAAGTGTGTCAAATTCAAAACAAACTGAACTCTGTTGGAGCCAGCATAATTATGCTGGGTTATTGTTTTGCCAGATATGTTTACTTGAAGCAAATAATAATTCTAGATGGAAAAATTAAGCATAGGGCCAGGTGTTAGTAGAAACAGTGGAAGTGGTCTGCATATCTAAATTATAGAGCTGTTCAACTTTGGTGTATTTTTATTGCCCTTTGCTTACTGCTGCTGTAAATTACAATGCACATAATTGTTCTTACTCCCCTTTTTTCTTTACTCTCCCCACTGTAAAAAAAAAAATAAACTATGTTAGTAGAAAATAATTGTAAAACATTGGCTGTGTTTGTGGGACCTAATGCAGCAATAAAAGACACGGGTTATCAAATACTATATTGAAGGATTAAATTTTTTTCATTGCATTGAACACTTTGTTATGGTTTGAGCTCCAAAAACTAATCACTTTGTCCTTGTACTGAAAATCTTCTAGTTGAGAATAATTAGGCTGAACTATTAGTATAAACTTTCCCTGATACTTACATGTGAAAGAAAATACTGAACTTTTTTCTAAATTATTCCTTCTTCCTTTTTTGTCACAGTCCAATGATGATAATTACACAGAAGATCACTAGTTTGGCGTTCGAGATTCATGATGGTAAGATTTCTTTAAACTGTGTTTAATTTTCCATACAAAATAAATTTAAGGGAAGATAGTCATGACTCAGTGAGTTACTTTAGTCCAGTTTGTGTTTTAGAACAAGATATAATTTTGTGTCTCAGTTGATTCTTTTGATGCTTACTAATGGAAGTACCAAGAAATGTTGCTCAGACACTACAAAAGCTCTGAAAATGCTTACATTGTGCAGAAGATACTACTTATCAGAAGACCAATGACACTTCTGGGGCCAGTGACCAAAGACCACTGACATTTTTTGGGGCTGGGGTGTTGATCCTGAGAGTTAGCTAAATAACTTCCAAATTCAAAGATCACTGTTGCTGACAGAACCAAGTACATGTAATTTCAGTTGTTGAGCACCTCTTGTTTTAAAATGGTGTTAATCTCCCCATTATTTGTTCCATGTATACTGGTTTTTATAAAACCATTATATACATGTCACTTCATTTATTATCATAATTACACTTGCTGCTAACATATCAGTGTGAACAGGGGGACTATCTAATTATGTTTCTGTCTTTTCTCCTATCAAATTTATCCATCATGTAAGTGGGCCCTAGTTGTGACAAAAATGAATCCTAATGTTTGCTTTTGTGGGTAAGGTATCTAGATTTTTAGTTACCTTTAAATTCAAAGGAGTACTTTAAAATTAAAGTCTGAAAATATTATCCAATAAACCTAGTCAATTAGCTTGGGTGGCTTGGAGCTACAGCTATCTGTTGAAGATTTGGGTGTGTGGTGCCAGTCACCTGTATCGAGCCTCCTGTTTTTCTGAAATTTCTTTAGGAACATTATGTATGGAGTTCAATATGCTTTTGTCTCATATGCATCCTAGCTTTAGTGCTGTTCGTGTTTCATTGTTTTCCATTCTTGTTAAGTTACACTGTCTAGAGAAACCTGTAGGCAACAACATTAAGGAATACAAGAAGTTGGGAAAACACTTTTTTTGGTAAGAATTCTTGCATGAGTGAAAATAAATAATGCTGTGCTTATCTAGTCAGTCAAAGAAGTTAGTGTCTAACTTCCAGAGAAAATATATTCAGAAGTATTAGTCTTGCAAGCTATAATCAATTAGAGTACACAGTACACAGCGGAAATGGCTTATTATAAGGAAGTAGTAATTCTAGTAGCAAAGATAAATGCTTCCTCTTACTATTATTTTGCTAGGGGAAAGAGCTATTCTCCATTTGCTGACATCATGCACAAATAGTGGAGTTGTGGTATGGGACAAGCATGTGAGTGTTCCTGGTAATCTTAAAAAAACAAAATCTTTCATTTAGTTAGCTGTATTCTTAACTTTCGTCACAAACTAAACTAGATTATTTTTCCTACTTAAATTAATTCAGATAATTTGTATTTTCCTCATCAGTCCAGCTTATTTTCTGTCTGAATTTCTTGTAGATATCATTGGATTCTGAGTATCAGTCTTGAAATTTTGTTCCTTGTTGACCTCATATCAGAGATCCTCTAGAGTCTGTGTCAGCCCATGGGGACTAGCTGATAATATATTAGAAAACTTTCTTTCTGGTTCCATTTGCAGTTTAGCGGAGCCCTTGACTTGAGTTGGATGATCACCGTTGCTGGGAGCACAGTGTGAATGTGACTTTCAAAAGTTGGTATGACGATTGTGAATTCAGGACCCACTGCTAGTCTGGTGTCAGGAGATGCTAAGAAAACAAGTACAGGGGAAACAGATAGTATTAAAACAACGATTTTTTAACTGTAGACAACTTAAAAGGGGTCCATCACGAGTAATTAATGAAAACACACATCCAGTCAATGGGCATTGTTCACTGTACAAAGGTTGATGCTTGCACTGGAAAATACTGTAAGAGATATAGTGATGGTAGAGGTGATAATGTTGGAAATCATTACACTGCTTAATGGCACTCTGAGCCTCTAGTCACATCAGCTTGGCTATGTTAATCACCAATTGCTTTATTTTTCACCCTCATTTTTTACCAGTACGTCCAAGGAGAGGTAATGAAAATAAACAGCTGAAAGGAAGGTGTTGGTGTGTTGGAAGATCTTGGTAAGCTTCAAGACTCTAGTTGTAGTTAGGTTGGTTTTGTGGTAAAGGCAAGTCACCTGGACTTGATCTTTTCCTTGCTGCCTGTTCCTTGTGTTCAGCTGGTTTCAGTGTTACATTTGAAGGTCCTGGAGAGAACTGGATGTAATCATGAAGGCCACTCACTCAAGCTGCATATTAGAGTCTGTCTAGCTAAGTGGGTATATTTGTTTCTGAGTTGAACGCTTGTACGGAATCTCACAAATAAATAGCAAGTACCCCTGTAACTGTTACAACCCTGTGCACTTAGTGTGGGCTTTTTTTAAATCAGGAAGATTCTGTGCAAGTTGCATAGGATTAATTTAAGCTTGCAAGTTGCATAGGATTAATTTAAGACTTTTCAGAAGGTTGCATGGATCACAAATTTACAGCTGAGTAAATTTGGAGTATGCCTTTGTACTCTGCCGGTTTTACATTTTGAACTTAAGGCCTTGCTCGTTCTTGCCTTACAGTTTCTTGTAACTCAAATGAGCACTGCCAAAAGTGAGTAGTCAGTATGCTGAAACTTGCTTTGTGTTTCTTGCCGATTATCTTTGGCATCAAACATGTATATTCTAAAGGCAGAAATGTTTTTACATGATTTGGAGACTCCTTGTGTCCATATTCATTCTTTATGGCGAGATTTATTTATACAACACTTTAGGATAATGACAGAGTTAAAGGGAGAAAAGGATTTTTTTTTTTTTTTGTACTTCAGATCCTATATTCTGGAGTACCTTTTTTTCAATCCAATTTAAAACTAGCATATTTTGGAGAAGGAAAGGTGCATTGCAGTTATTCTAGAAGCAGGTATCTTGTCTACAGGTGCAGTTTAGAAGGGCTATAAAATGGAGTATTGTACTTGCACAAGAAATTTCTAGCTAAGAGATGGTGGCAAGTAGAGAAGCTTTTGCAATTACAAGGTACTAAAAGTTAGGCAGGGGAGAAGAGGAGAGATACTGTTCTGCTTAACTCTGTCTTGCAATGAATTCATACAGCGTTCTCCCTTTTTGCTTACAACTCACTCAGCCCCACAGAGCCTCACTCATTTTGCTGCAATTCTGTATGAGATCAGGGATCTTTGCAGGAAAGACCCATATCCAAATCTAACCCCACTAATTTGTATGCGCTTTGGCAGCTTGTTTTTAATTCTAGTGCTTAGTGAATCTTAAACAAAGAGTCTCTTCAGATGTTTATATTCATAACCCATTGAAGTTCTGGAGCTCACAATGTGTTTATTTTTAAATCTCCAAGACATTCAGCCAGCAAAACTAGGGAACGTTAGACTTGATATTGGATATTTAAAACGAAAAAAAAATTCTCACAGCTTCTTCCAACCTTGTTCTTACTACTTTTCTCTCTAATATAAACTAAGTAATACATAATAATTGAAGGAAAAAAAAGTAATTTTTAAAATGTAGTACCCATCTACTAGACATGAAATCTAATTCTTCCAATTCATTTCTTCATATTACTATGTTGCACTTGTCCGTAACTTGTGACACTGTTTCCCACAGCATTCCCCTGGAGAAACTGTCTGCTCATGGCTTGGATGGGCATGCACTTTGCCGGGTAAAAAACTGGCTGGAAGGCCTGGCCCAGAGAGTGGTGGTGAATGGATTTAATTCCAGTTGGCAGCCGGTCATGAGTTGTGTCCCCCAGGGCTCAGTACTGGGACTAGTCCTGTTTAATATCTTTATCAATGATCTGGATGAGGGGATTGAGTGCACCCTCAGTAAGTTGCAGATGACAAACACCAAGCTGGGTGGAAGTGTTGATCTGTCTGGGGGTAGGGAGGCTCTGCAGAGGGATTTAGACAGACTAGATCGATGGGCCAAGGCAAACTGTATGAGTTTCAATAAGGCCAAATGCCGGGTCTTACGCTTTGGCCACAACAACCCCTGCCAACGCTACAGGCTTGGGGAGGAGTGGCTGGAAAGCTGCTCAGCGGAGAGGGACCTGGGGGTGTTGGTGGACAGCCGGCTGAATATGAGCCAGCAGTGTGCCCAGGTGGCCAAGGCGGCCAACGGCATCCTGGCCTGTGTCAGGAATAGTGTCACCAGTAGGACCAGGGAGATCATTTTACCCCTGTACTCAGCACTGGTGAGGCCCCACCTCAAATACTGTATTCAGTTTTGGGCCCCTCACCACAAGAAGGACATTGAGGCGCTGGAGCGTGTGCAAAGAAGGGCAGTGAAACTGGTGAGGGGTCTGGAGCACATGTGTTATGAGGAACAGCTGAGGGAACTGGGGTTGTTTAGCCTGGAGAAAAGGAGGCTCAGGGGAGACATTACTGCTCTCTACAACTACATGAAAGGAGGTTGTAGTGAGGTGGGGGTCAACCTGTTCTGTCAAGTAACAGGTGATAGAACAAGAGGAAATGGCTTCAAGTTGTGCCAAGGGAAGTTTAGATTGGATTTTAGGAAGAATTTCTTTACTGAGAGGGTCATCAGGCATTGGAATGCATTACCCAGGGCAGTGGTGGAGTCCCCATCCCTGGAGGTATTTAAGTGTTGTGTAGATATAGTGCTTAGGAATATGGTTTAGTGATGGACTTGTCAGTGTTAGGTTAATGATTGGGCTAGATGATCTTACAGGTCTTTTCCAATCTAGGAGATTCTGTGATAAAAATGTGTAGCTAGATACAGGTAAGAAACCAGAACCATAACACTTTTCTGTTCTGCCAGCTGCTTCTTGGTTCCCAGGGGCCGATGGCATGTGCTTTATGACCACAAAGAAAGAAAAGAAATAAACTCTTTGTTCCTGTGTGTACCCTTCTCCCATCCCTTATGCCTTGGGTTTCAGCACTGTCATTGCTAATTTTTAAATGTGCTTTTCCTGGAATGCTGCTTGCTTCCCCCCCTCCCCCTTTTCCTAATTATTATTTCCTCCTGTATATCTGGTGCTCTCCATTTTTTAAAAGTCATAGAGT